GTCCTGCCATTGGCCCTTACCAATCATGGCCTCCTAATAATCCCCCTCTATGAACTGGCTTCATCACTCTGCTCTCCTCCCCACTGATAGCTGATGTGTGGGGAGCGTTCTGGCGCACTATGGCCGCTGTCGCATCATCCAGGTGGGGCTGCACAGTGGTGGGGATGGAGGGGATCCCAATTACCTGTAAAGCGCTTTGAGTGGAGTGTCCAGAAAAGCGCTATATAAGTGTAAGCACATTATTATTATTATTGAAGTGCAGCTCAGACCTGGGACACATGAGTCAGCCATTCTGCACCAGCATATTTGCTGGAGAAGTGGGAAAATACACCAGCTGTATTATTAAAGGACAACTTTAGGCCAGACTGTATAGCCCAGAGAGCCCACTGATAACACCTCTACTCTTCTGAACTGTGCCACACGATCCGAAACACTGAATATCTTGAATAGTTGTGGTTACTATGTTACAAGAAAATATATCATATCGCTGCTTTGAAATGAGTTCAGAGATGAGCAACTAGACACTACTAAACTACTAAATATCCAGGACAAGACCTGTTACAGCATGGAGTCCCCTGGTCACCATACTGGGGCAGTGGTTTAAAGATTCTGGTCGAAAGGGAAGATATTGAGTCTCAGTGCTGACCAGTCTCAGAGCCGACCAGTCTCAGAGCTGACCTTTGGATGGCTTTTGAGATCCGACTAGACTTGAGGGTGCTAATGCTACTGTCAGCATTCCTGTGCAGCAGACAAACATCTGGTTATTGTAGGTTTTTTTTTTAATGTGGTCTCTTCAATGCAGGTTTTGTTTGCTGGGCATTACAATGGTTAGTGTAGATTAAGTACTTTACGTTGTGTTGACACAACACATTCTTAGAATGAGTTACTATAAAGAAAACACTGATACAGCTACTAATACTCATACAGGAGTAGAACAGAGGTTATCTTTTAGCTGCAATTCACATTTTTATAATGGGGTTTTCAGATAACGAGCGTTTTAAAAATATAATAACATTTGTTGATATATCATGTTTTTTGATATGGTATCATTAATATACATATTATCTGAGGCAGAAAGGTAAGGTCTTTAATCTATTTTTCATTCTTATCAACAATGTAAAGTATTATCCAAAAGTATAGTATAGTATATCATGGGGCATAAATGAAATGTTTTTTTTTTTCGTTTTCCCATAAGAGTTTTCATGAGGTTCACATGAATATACAATTTTCATGTAAAAAGTCAATTTGTCTTTTTCCAGAAGTGAAGTAGTGAAGTGGGGCCCTAGATTCCAGCCCGTCACAGTGCACACCCTGCGAGTGTTAGAGGCAACAATTAACCGGGCCAGCACGTCTTGGAAAAAACAAGAGAAAACCCACACAAACACAGGGGGAACATGCAGACTTCAAACAGAAGTCTCTCCAGTCCAGA